GGGGGGGGGTGTACTCATAGTCGTGCATGCCGTAGTCGTCAGACCATTGACCTCGCATCCCTGCAAAGCCGGGACGGAGCACGCCGGGTTCCCACGGGACCAGTAGGGTGACGGGGGTGGGGGGCGTTTCCTCAAGTACGACGTCCTGGGTGGACCCGGTTCGTGTGCATGGACTCATTCACGTCTGTGTGCCTCCGGCCGACTCCTGCCGAAGGTGTGGTAACAACTGTGACAACGTCCACGAGAGATGGGACGGCATAAGAGGGAAACAGAGCGTGTCCATCCGCGTTATTGTGTCCTTTAGAAAGGCTGGCCGTGTGTCCGTCGGACAGCCGGCTACGCTAGAGCGCTCGATGGCGGCCTCTGCTTGTTTAACACTGCTGTCTGTCTTTTTCGTTTTTATCCCGTTTGTGTAGATGGCCCCGTGTTTCTTCGTTGTCCCTCTCTGGTTGCTTGTTTGTGCCTGTCGTTGGTACATTCCAGCTGGGTCGAGACGGTGTTCAGCCTGGTGTGGGCGGTGGTGAGCGTGCAGCACGGGGCGGCGGCCATGACCGAGTGCGGGCTAATCCCGGCCCTCCTCAACGTCGTGCAGCTCAACATGGACGGACAGGTGGGACTCCGACTGTGTTCCGACTGTGTGCATATGGTGAAGGGCACGGTTTATTTGTCGTGAGGACCCGCCGCCGCGTCGTCCCTCGTGTTTGGTGTTCCACACCGCCGTGGCGTTGGGCCGAGACCCAACCGCGACCCCGCGTGCTTGGTGTGAACAGTTCCCGTTGACTCAAGACCCACCCACACCGTGCTTCGTGTTGCGTTCCCGTTGGAGACCCAGCCACACAGTCTTGCTTTGTGTTGAGCTTGCCGTTCGTTTGAAACCCACCCACAGCCGTGCTTTGTGTTGTCGTTTGAGACCCAGCCATAGCAGTCGCACTTGGTGATAAACTTGCCGTTGGTGTGAGACCCGCCCACAACCGCGTGCTGTTAAAGCTGCCGTTCGTTTGAGACCCGCCCACAATGGCGGGCTTTGTGGTAAGGCTGACGTTCGTTTGCGAGCCACCCACAGCCGCGTGCACGTTGTGTTGTGTAAAGTTGCCGCCCGTTTGAGTCCCACTCCCGTGTTGTGGCGGCTACCGTCCTCACCCACGTCTTGGTCTTTTTTCTTTTGTTGTTTGTGGCTTGTTGCTTGCTTTGATCGAAGCAGGGCTTCGGCGGCATGGGCAAGCCCTTCCAGCGGCGGTATGTGGTGTCGCAGGCCGTTCAGATCATGGAGACAGCGGTGGTGAACAATGCGGCCGCTCTCTCCGCATTCAGGGATCTCGGCGCAGCCGAGGTGCGTCGGTATTTTTGTGTGTTGGTAGAATATTGCACGCAGGCTCTTCCTTCTTTTTCCAGTGGCTCATTTTTTGTCAATTCTGTCACCCTTCTCTCGTTGAAAATGACTTGTTGGTCGTCGAATTTTCGCTACTGCTGCCTCCGTTCGTTGACAGTCCCTGGTTCGTTTTTTTATTTTTTTCGGCGAACATTTTTTGTTTTTGTCAAGTTTGTTCATTTGGTGCTTTGTTCTTGTCTACATGTTTCGTTTGTTCATTGTGGTACCTCTCCGTGTTCTCTCTCCCCCTCCTCCTCTCTCTCCCGCCTAAACTTCCGGTACAACAACAGGTGCTCGCGTCCGCTTTTTCCACCGAGGTTGGAAGGCTTCGCGATGCCGGGGCGGCGGCGGCGGCGGGAGACAACCGTAGTGGTGGTGGCTGTAGCGGGATGGTGGTGGATGACCCCAAGGGCAAAGCGGAGGTACGGCGTTTTTGTCTCCCGAATGTTGGGGATGGTGAATACCCAGTTATTCATCAATAATGGGATGGTGCGAGTTGATTAGAGAAAACCTGTACTACTGCTACTATTTATTGTTGTTGTTGTTGTTTCTCACATTAGCTCTATAGTCCACGAAAAATGGGGAGCCCGTGGTCTCAAAACCCGGCACATACGACGCCGCTGGGAAAACAAAACAGAAATAGGGTACAAACCACTCGGAAAAAAAAACAAAATGATAGAAAGAAAAGAACAGGTATCGCACCGACCGTTCGAGGAAAGAGCCCTCGGAAACCGATCAAAATAAAACAAAAACAAAATAAAGGAGGACGGTTCCCACACCCGCCCAAAGGAAAAATCAAAGGGTAACGTACCAGCACCAGGCACTACGCACCAGGGCATGGTGTCATGTGTTGAAGGTTTCAAGGTGTTGACTACTGTTGTGTTGAAACCACGCTTGGTGAAAAAGGCCTTGTGCGGTTGTATACCATGTTGCTTGTAGGTGCAATAGTTGAGAACAGCGTCCCCCAAAAGGACTGTTTTGTTGTCTGACTACTGATGTGTTGTAAGCGCGTTGCTTCCGGGTTGGCATTCAAGGAGAGGGGAGGGTCTTTGGGGCGGGGTGGACCGATGCGTCGTTGCTGAATCGGACCAAGTCCTCGAAGATGGTATGTGACTTGATTGGTTGTTTTTGGGATTGGCGTGAGTGGCGAACTCATCATGTCGCGGTCTTGCTTTGCCGTTTTGCCTCTCGTCGTTGCTCTACTGTTTTAACCCAATAGGATCTCCTTCTCTCTCTCTCCCTCTTTCTCTCTCTCCTCTCTCTCCCTCTCCCTCTCCCTCTCCCTCTCCCTCTCCCTCTCTCCTCCTTCTCTCGACCTCACAACTCCCTGTACCCCCCTCACAGGGCAAAGGCAAGAGCAAGAAGCAGCCCTCCTCCTCCAAGACCGCTAAGGGTAAGGGCAAGGGTAGAGACAACGACGGCAAGGTGAAGGGAACCACCTCCTCCTCCTCCTCCTGCTCCTCCTCCTCCTCAACTGTGGTCGCCACGGGAGGCGATCCCGACGGGGTCCAGGGGGGCGCAGAGGACGATGCGAGCTCGGCGGCGGGTGGCCCCCTGGCCGACCCGTCTCCGTCGCAGAAAGCGCTCCTCTTCTCCCTGCTGAACGCCCTCAGCATCACGTTTCAGAACCAGGTGCGCAAGGCGCGAAGGAAGCAGAGGGAAGGTTGTTCTAAGAGCTTGTGAACCTAAACGTTTGTTTTGGTAGCCACAAGCGTAGTAGCCAAAGGCGTAGTAGCCAAAAGCGTTTGTTTAACCAAAAGCGTTTGTTCAGCCAAAAGCGTTTGTTTAGCCAAAAGCGTTTGTTTAGCCAAAAGCGTTTGTTTAGCCAAAAGCGTTTGTTCAGCCAAAAGCGATGGGGTTGTTGTTGTTGGGATTCGGTCGTGCAACCTTGGGCGTAGAAATGTGTATGTTCACGTTGACGATGCGAAAAGTGTATGTTTGTGTTGATGATGGTTGTTTTCAGTTGTACCTCATCTGCTTGATCGTCGTGTGTACGTCCGTCACCCCTCTACTGACCCCCGCCCCCTCGGTGGAAACCTAGGTGTTGATAGCGATTCATTGTAGGTATGCGAGTTCTGCAGGCGTGATTTAATGTTAGCATTACAGATTTCAGTACATTGTACCCCTGTAACAGGTTCTGCAGTCGAAAGACAAGACTATACTTACCTCAGGCGTGGAGCATTTTCAACATCAACATTTGTTCACCCCCTCCGTTTCCTAAAACATATTTCCACACACACACCTCCGCCCCCTTTTTTTTGTGTTTTTTGCGCAGACCCAAACACACCAGCAGGTGGGGTCAGACCCCCTGCTGGAGGCATTTTTGACGGCGGCGGTGATGGACGTTTTCCGCAACAGCGACATGTTCGGGGGCGTGCTGGTGGCGCTGACGGCGACCCTTATCTCGGACGTGGCCAACCAAGACCCCAGCACCACGGTGCCCTATTTGCTCAGGTATGTCTTGTTCACGTTGTTGTTGTTGTTGTTGTTGCTGTTGTTGTTGTTGTTGTTGTTGTTGTCGCCGTCTTGGTGGTGGCGATGGTATCGTTTGTGTAGTTGGTTGGGGCAGTGTTATCGGTTGAAGTGTTGGTCTGTTGTCGTCGTCGTCGTCGTGGAGGCGATGGTGTTGTTTGTGTTGTTGCTTGGTGCGATGTTCGTTCTCGGTTGCATTGTGGCTATTCGTTGTTCGGGTATGTGAAGTGTTGTTCATCGGTTGCAGTGTTACTTTTTTTTTATTTCTTGAAGGAGTAGTTTCTGGTGCGGTGTCGTCGTGTCCGCCTTGGTTTGTGCCGCTGCGACCTTTCCTTTTCGTGTCTCAACTGGTAAAGGTAAAGTTCACTTGGGTAGATTTTTTTTTTTTCTTTATACTTGGAAGTATAACACAAATAATCCATCTATCTCTATCCGCACATTCTGGGTTTCTATCCACAGGTAAGGGTCCAGAATTGATGTGCAATGAACCCATAGCGTTGGCACTATCTGTTTTTCTACGAGTCCTCAAGCGGAACTTTTTTTTTTTGTGGTTTCCCTTCAATAGTTTGTACGCCCAACAACAACTTCACCTCAATCACGCAGAGATTTTTGTTGTGTTTTTTCTCAATATATCACAACGAAATCATCTAAAAAAGTTATCTTTTCTTTATCAACTGGTAAGGGTCTTAAGAAGGACGTACTTAAATAGCAAGTTAGCGGAGTACCTGTATTCCTACTGTTCCCGACGTATCGTACCTTTTTTCGTTCGCTGTATTTTTAGATGGTTTCTCTTCAAACATTAGTAACGGCGAAGAACAACCTTTGCCCCAATCGCACAGGGATTTTCATTTACATCTTCCTACGTCATCCAGGATGATTTTGCAATGAATATCGTCCCCAAGCATTTTTTTTTTTTTTTTCACGTGGTTTCCTGTGGTCACCCGCAGGTCGGGCATCGTGGACGAGTACCTCAAAGTGCTGACGGCGACTCCGGCGACTCCGGCGCCGCCGCCGTCGTCGGACCTCTTGGTCACCGTGCCGAACGTGCTTCACGCGCTCTGCCTCACCCACGACGGCGCTTCGAGGGTGCAGGAGGCGAACGTCTTCCCGGCGGTAAGGGCGTTCGTTGCTGCTCTCTTGTTGTTGCTGGCGGTGGTGTCCGTGTTGTCGCTGCTCTCTTTTTGGTGCTGGTGATGGTGTCCGTGTTGTCGCTGCTCTCTTTTTGGTGCTGGTGATGGTGATGGTGGTTGTGGTCATTGTTTTCCGGTTGTTCTTGTCCGGGGGGGGGTGGCATCGACCGCGCTACCCGGCTGACCATTGAGAGGGTGCAGGAGGCCAACGTGT